AGAAATATAAGCAAGATCCACACATACACATACATATACCCCTACACAAAACCCATACACTCTCAATAATATAAGACTCAGAAGCACATAAAAAGGTGCACTTCGCACCTGGATAACTATGGAACAGACACCCTCCCACTACACCTCAAGATAAACTCCTATTCATACCCTTCGCACATTGACTACTATACCAGCCCACTGCATATACCTACAGTAGCACATCCCCTCATACCCCCCACACCATGTACAACTCTGATTTTACGAAGCTTAGCAAACGAGATTCCTACCTCTGGCGCCTTAACTTTAGATGCCTGAACGACATACTGGGACTGCAAAGGTGGAAACCGATCCACATATTCTGTTGCCTTGGATCCAACCAAATGCGTTGCAAAATAATGAACAAATAGGGGAAGTCACTTAGATGAGCTTATCATCTGAGATGCATCCCCGCGTATTTCACCTCCTAGATGTGCAGAAGCTGCACTGGGCCGAACCCACGAGAAGGATGTATCAGAGGACCAGTATGTTTTTACAACTACCAATGCCAGTTGGGTTTTGAGAATAATAACGAGCTAAGCAAGGCTCAGAATTCTTTTCTTGCTTTGTTTAGTTGAAGAATATGATTGTTGGATTTGAAATTAGTTTGCTTTTAGGATTTTGTTTTGTTTTGGGGAATGTAACTGGAGCTGATGCTCTGTTAGGTTAGCTTGTTTTATGTTTTATTTTAAGTGTCGGTTGATACTTAGTTAGTTTTATGTTTTGTATTAAGTATCAGTTGATACTTGGTTATTTTTATGATTTAATTGAGTAAGAATATGAGCGAGAATTCATGATAGTACTCAAACACATGTACTTAAAAAGACCGCCCTCTTTCTCTCAGGAAACAGCAGACTTCGACAAATAGTATTCTAATATACTCAGTTGAACTGTTATCTTTATTTGCCTATTACACCACCGAAGCCTCCCTTAGCGAACTCAGAATTGCTGCTCTCTGGTAGATTAGCATTCTACTCCTATCGTACTCGACGACATGATTAGCACCCCGGCATGAACACAGTACACTACATGTACTCCTTTGCCATAAGCTTTTTGTAGGTTATTTGAGAACACTAATCATATAAAACTTATCATGGTAAGTAGTGTGCCAGGGGTAAGGGACTATGGGTAGTGCCCACAGGTCTCGCTGCCCCCACAGCTTTCCCAGAGTATCTTAGACCTTCTCACTTTGCAATCTAGACAGATAGAACTTAACTGGAAGACAGCTGATATTTACAGGTACTTGCATAGATCATTGCATATAGGAAGAAAGTTATTTAGTTCGCTTTCCTGGGTGACTTGACAGTTAGCTACTGATGAGACACCGATATGCAGTAGTTTTCACTCCAGCAGGTGTCTTGGGAAATACCTTGCAGGAACTGAAGTGCATATGGGAGATTTCTGCTGGAGTGCGCTGACCCCTTAGGTCCTTCGAGAATGCAGTAATGGTGCTCGGCAATCCTTATAGCAAAGGGCATACTTGTGTTGGTCAAGGTAACCTGATGCAGGAGTTTTTGGTATAAGTCTGACTACTTGAAGATTATATGAGAACTCTCCTACCCCGATAAAATCAACATCCCCTTGAGAAACTTTAATTGAGATAAGCTAGAGCTTAACGATATTAAGTTTTACTGTCTACTTGATTCTTTACACTTTGCAAGAGCTGTGTTTGAGAGATTCAAGTTTGATGCAGTCGCATCCTTAGGAACTGTCTACCTGAGAGAGCCCCTATTATATCTTTGGAAATTCTAGATATAGTCTCCCATATAGCCCTAGTTCTCTTTCCTCCAGCACATATTGAAGTCCTTCTTATACTCTTTCTTATCCCTTCATTGTTCCTAACACTTCATCTTCAACTAGTATATTCTCTCCCTCAGCCCCATATTTGCCCTCCATCTCAACCTCTGTCCATTCAGCTTTCCTAGATAGAGATTACTACATAGGCTGTATATATTTTGTACCATTCCTTCCTGTATAGTAACCATCTCATAGAAATAGCTGCTCACCACCTGGTATGAGATTCATGCCTAATCTTCACAAAGCATTATCCAGACATAATCCACGGTTAGAAGAATTGTGAAACAGAGATAAAACCTGATACTCAGGATAGACTGCTTCTGTCACGGGTATAGCAATTTCTGTTAAATGCTGTATCAAGTCTTTACTATCCTAATGTCCTACCTCTCTCCCATACTCAAAAAGAAAGGAAGTATGCTCTGGTAATTCCAACTGTTCTCTCCTCTCCTGTGAAAGTGATTGGTACTCCAGTGGAACCATGTAAGAAGGAAGTCAGATACCATTATTACCCCTTGGTCTCTTTCTTTAGGCATGATAAAGTGATGACCTTTCTGAATTCAAGCTTGATGTAGGCCATTATTTGACTAAAAAATGAATTTGTCATGGGTAATCAAAATAAGAGGTTGCTGTGCGAGATGTAAGGTATTTACCTCCACCTCCTCTGCATAGGCTTCATCAAGCATATCTCCCTCATCAGTAAACTCCACCACTCAGGGCCAGTAAGATTCGAATTGGTATAAGAATTGCTTCCGGTATGCCTACACATCCTCTCCCTCATACCCATCTGTATGTATCCTTTTTTTAATATCCTGCCAATCAAAGCCCTACTTTCTTAGCCACTACCATGCTGTCCTTACTCCCGGACCTCATCTTCTGTGAAGTGAATCATGTGGGTGGCTATTTTCAAGCATATTACTTGAAATAATAGATGCAATATTTGGTATACTGCTATCTTCTGAAACTGTTGGATCTGTACTAGAGCAAATACCAGTTCTATTGCTATCTTCCACCCTTGGCAGTACCTCTGAAGTTTGATTATGTGCCTCCAATGGATGATTTTCTTGATTATTGAAAAGAAAATCATTTACTACTTTAGTTAACTTTCTGGATATAATTCCTAATTCTATTCATATTATACTCACCTCTGATTAACATTTCTCTAATAAAGTCAATAATCTTAGAAAAGTTTAGTCTTCTTACCATCTTTTGCACTTGATACATAGTCTCATATCATTAATTGTAATTTTTTATTATCAAAAAGGAACTCTATATCTCAAAGTTTCTTGAAACTCTTTCCATATCCCATAGCAGAAGATAATGTTGAGTTGACAATCTATTTGCATTCCCATTTGATTATCCACTGTGCCATATGCCCCCCCCTTTCAAAACTATTTGCTACAGCAGGTATAATTCCCTTCTGAGTACAATTGAGACATTTCAATTGAGCACGAAGAAAGCTACACACCATTTTATATCTTTTTAAAAGATAGCCTCTAAACCTACCAGCACCAAATCTCGCAACCTGGTCAGATTTTCTCTGGAGCAAAGATCCTAACTTCACTAGTTCCCTTGACTGCTAATCTTGTAGGACTTTCTTTCTCATAAGGCTTCGGACACTACCATCAGGAATATCTGAAAGTTGTATATTTTCTTGTAGAATCCTGGATAATCTAAAATAAGTACTTGGATTTGAATTACCAGGTTGCGCTAATCCAAGATCTTGCTGCCACTTCCATAGAGCTTGAATATTATATGACTTCTCTGCTACTTTTTCCAGCTCTTTGAGCTGTTCCTGTTGATTCTACTCTGATGCCCAGGAACCTGTACCATAACCACCCCTCATACCATGCTCTGCACCTCTGGCCCACTCAATCTTTATTGCTAAATTGCTTTCAGAATCTTCTTCCTCTCCCTCTCCTTCACTCGATGCTTCTGTATTATCACTTTCTGAGCTATCATCAGATTCAGATACAGAGTCAGTACACATGTGAGAATGATAGGTATGGGTTGCTGTCCACTCCCTCCACATTATATTCATTGTAATTCATACTCTGCACCCACTTTAGCTCCTGCGCACCTGTAAGCTGCCTCTTCCATTTATTACTAGTAAGCATTTTTGGCGAGTTTTTAATTTTTGACAGTAAGACTAGAGGTTTACGTTCGAGAGGGTAAGCTTCTGATTCCAAGTCTTGTATCATAAGGTGTTCTTTTATCTTGCTTGGCACTGTCCCACCCTTCCTGATCCATGAGATATCACTCGGCTTTCACTTCTTGGCACTTATTTCACCAGATCCATTAGTTAATTTTCCTCTCCCTCATACAAATATCCCAATCTCCCAAATGCACTCCACCATTCACCCTTCTCTTTTTGATTTATTCCTTCTGTAATTCTCTTCTCATACTAATTATCTACACATTTACAGAAGGATTAATCAATATCTGAACATCTGATGTTGGTGTTGTTGAAGCGAGGATGGCAGTTTTTCGTGCTCATTTGGTGGTGGTTGGCAGTGTCCGGAACTATACCCCACTACCGGTACCCCACCACAGGTATGGCGCAACCGTTAATTAAACAGGTCTCAGATCACGAACACTTCTGACGACTGACTGTATATGCAAGTCTCTCGAGTTGGAGTATGATACAGTACTGTAATCGTAACGTCTTTGTTGCCTACGGATCTGGCAGACCCACTCGAGAAACGGGTTTTCCGGCCCCGAGGCTGGGTGTCTCTACTGGTATTGTCGATGGTTTGGTTCATTCCAAGGGTGGGGATCCGTCTGAACTGCACCGTCGCACCTGTCGTCATATAAGATACCGGTAGCACCTATCAGGACCTCGAGCTATGGTCCCAGGAAACGATATCTCAATGTTGAAGGCACACGGCTTGCGGTATTGAATTTCCTCAAAGGCACTGGATCCCCCCCTTTTCTCCGGGGAAAAAACAGAATTCCCGCATATATGAAGAATCAACCTATGGTCGTGATACAGGTGATTGGCCTTGGACCGTCGGCACCGTTTACCGGGTTTAGGTCGGAGGGACAGAATTGGTCTGGCTTGACCTTGGCTAGGCTGGCGGATCAGCTCCGAGTCGCTGGCTAGCGGAGCAAGGGCTCGGTTCGTATGGTCTTTGTTGAGTGCTAGTTCATCGGCGTGGTGATAAGCCTCTTCGTATCGGGAACTTCAGCCCTATCATGAGCCTGCGTGTGGCTCAGTTGCCCAGAATGTAGTGCATGCATGCAGGACAGATAACCGATGAGAGATACAGTAACATACTTGTATATCGTGGCTTGAAGGATAAGGTCAGATTCACCACTGTAGTAACCTTTGCCATTTCGTTGTCAACGGTATTGTGTTTATGGAGTGATGGTAAAAATACAGGCAACTACCCAAGCTTAAGCCGGTACCCTTCCTATCGCAAAGCAGAATAGAACATGATAAATGCCAAACGCCATATGAAAACATGCAAGAAATATCAGGCCTCTTCAGAAATTCTGATCGGCGTATTCCCAAAGCTTTCCAATCCCCTGCTGATAATACCGGCCCCGCCACCGCCCCCGCCGATTTCCAGGCTTCCCCTAAGCTTCTCGTATTCCTCGCTAGCCTTCTGAAGTCTTTCCTGGACCATGGCCTCCCTCTCTGATATTTCTTGCTTCTCGGCCTGTAGCGCTTCCATCTGCCGAACCTTCTGTGCCTTCTTGAATTCCATAGCCGCAAGTGTCTCCTCCAGCCTCTGTAGTGCATCATCAAGATTGGGTAATGGCGTAACGCGCGGGGGCTGTCTGGATAACATCTCAAGATCCCTGGATATCCCACCGCCCGAAGAATTCGAGAAATCTCCCTTCTTGAGTTGGTCCTTTTCCCATTCCTCCGCCAAGCTGTCCCGAGAATCTGAATCCATATCCATCGAATCGTCGTGGACACCCTCCGCCTCTTTGATAGCATCTCGAATGTTCTCCCGTCTCTTCCGATCGTGCGCTCGTTGCGCGGCTTTGCCGCCCAGCACTATTCCGCCGTCCTCAATGAATTTTTCTAGTTCCTCTTCGTCGTACATGTTCTCGTCTGCCCGCTGTACCCTCGATTCCTTCTTTTTGCTCTTCAGAAGAATCTCCCCATCCCCATCATCACTGCCCATGTTTAGGGAAATGTAATCTCCAGCCTTGGCCCTAGCAGCCTTTTCCGCTCGTCGAGCTTTCATAGCCCTGACCCAACCCTCATCCGGAATAACTGTTCCTTGTTTCGACGATTCTCCGTATCTGGCCAATGCCGTGTTCTTGTTTTTCTTGGGGATATCCGCTGCAACCACATTCATATCCACATCTTCAACCTCCAAGTCTGTATGTTGAGACAACGGTATCACGGGTGTATTGCTCCGTAGCTCCTCCAGGTATTCCTTCGAGTACGTGGGTCTATCAGCACTGGGTGTAAGATTGAGATGCTCCATGCCTATTACTCCGGCCGAGTGACCCGATTTCTTGACGGCATTTCTCTCGCTCGCCTTCCGGCTTAAGGCCGACTTTTTGAGAGTAAAGACCTCACTTTTTTCATCGCCAGCAGTGGAAGTATCGGGGCCGAAGGATAACCGTACGCCGGAGCTCTTCTTCACTTTTGGGCGAGCTAAATTGCCTGCAGTTCTTAAGTTTAGTGAGTTGAAGGGTTTAGGGCAGGATTAATGCAAACCTTGGGATTGCTTTGTTGATTTCAGAGGAGCTTTGACTACTTTCGTTTGCTCCTCTTCTTCACTCTCATCATCTCGCGCGACTACTCTCCCCTTTGGACGTCGTGAAGCAGAGGTGGGGGGCATTTCAGTTATTTGCGGTGGTGTTTGGGGGATCCAACAAATCTGTAGACTGCTTAGTCTACAGCTCGCTTGCCAAAGGTCTTCGACCATGGGTCGCCAAGCCCACAAGCTCTTAGTAGCAAGAGCCGCTCCGCCTCAACGTCAACTTCAACACACCCATCCCCTCCAAACTTGTCACGATGCCCCAAGCACAACCTGAACTCAAAAAAGTAACTTACCCTCGCTGTGTTCATCTTAATGGGTGTCAGGAAGAACAGTTGCTAACGTTTGAATAGTATCTCGATAAGCGCCTTTTCGTTCAATTGAATGGATCCCGCAAAGTCATTGGCGTGCTTAGAGGATACGATGTATGTTTGATCCATCCGTTCGACCACCACATTGCCCCTTCCTGGGGATCCACGGTACTGAGTATGACCCTTGTAGGTATTTTTAAACATCGTCCTTGATGACGCTGTTGAAGAGAAGGACGGAGGTGAGAAAGTACGCATCGGAACGGTGGTGATCCGGGGAAACTCAGTTGTCATGCTAGAGGTACTGTCACTGCCCTTCCCTAGCCGGAACTCTGGCCTTTAGACTAACATCTACCTAGGCGTTGGAGCGAATAAACTAGTCACGATTGGAGAGGGGGTGATAGATAGGCATACACAACAAATTAATGCCCCGGCCGAACGCGATCACTTTTTCTTTCTATCCTTAGTTGGGACGCTCTTTTTCTTTTCTTCTCGTACAATAACATCACAAATGGTGTGATACTTTGAGCTGGTCCGGAATGGGTATTGACAAACTCTTATTTCTTGGACCTGGTACGAGTTTTGTCACCCTATTATGATTAGACTCTGGCTGATCCGTATACCTCCTCCTCTCCAAAATGGTCAGGCCACGTTACTTTCCTAATGGCCATTTGCAGCCCACCCCCAGAGTGACCTTTTACCCATTATAGCCCAACCTGAAGCGCAGTCTGCTGGGTATGGGTCCCGAAAGAGAAAAAATTAAATGTCTAGCAGACTGCCGACACTATCCATGCATTGCGTGTGTGGGTTTTTAAGCACCAACCCTGAACATCAGTAAGAGTCTGTCGAAATAACCAGTGATAAATGCTCTCTGCCTAGCCGATTCTAGGGACGCGAAACACAATAGTAAAGACCGCTTGAGAAAGCTGCAGCTGATTGGTAGGTGATTAAATGATTCAAGATTATTTTCCCGTCCTATCCCAAGAGGCCCAGGTCATGATATGAGATGAATGGACCATCCGAGCCTCATAAGGTGAAGGTTAGGGTTGCTGCTTTCCCGGGGAAATCGCGTGCAACGGCCCGCATTCCCAAGCCCACGCTCATCGTTAGAACTTCGTAAGTCTCATATCGCCTGCTTAGCACGCCCCCCTATCTCGGATCTCCACGATCGCCTCCATTTCTACCTATTCGCCGGCCGAACCCTCTATATCGCATAATAATTGTTACCCTGTTTTTCTGGCGAGAGTTCTTCCCCTTGGGATTCCACCATGAATTGCCCAACTCGTGATTCGAACCCCTTGAATCTTGACGGTTGAACCTCTCCCGATCCAACGCAGAGCGCGTGTCTTTACGAAGACTTGGTTAACTTTGAACAGGATTCAACCAAAACCCACCCTACCTTGCGCCGGAGCTTACCACAAGATCATCCCTCGTATGTTGCGGTTTCCCCCATCCCTAGCCGAAATGCCCTGCTAATAACGGGGGTCAAGGTTTGTGGCGGCAAATCCGATGGAACCTATAATCTACCGCTACATGTGTTTGCACTTTTTATAGTGTTATTCCAAAGCATATTATGTTTGCTCAGCCCCTCCGAACTTCTTTCCAAGTCCTTTGCCAGCTCCATTCTTCTACTCTCGGGTGTTGAATTGGAACCTCTCTGCAGCGTTGGTCCCGGAGCTACGGTTTCCAGGCAGGAGGTACATACCGTTGCTAACGATTGAATACAAATCCAGCATGCTCATTCCCGTTGATTGTGAAGAGGTTCCCACAGCTACGGGCCCCGCGACAATTCCTGTACGATTCTTGGCTCCTCTTTGATGCTAGTTGGTCCCTTATTGACAATTTTGTAGATTTCTATCCAGACAGTGATCCCCCCCTCCTCACTACCCGATTTGTTGACTTCGAGCTACCTCTGATTTCCAGGACTTATGTTGACATATTCGCAGTTTTGGCACTGGTGTTCTTATTGCCACGGCTTTTGTCCATGCAAGTTACCCGGAAAATATTATGCTTACCTTCGATATCACAGTAAGCTAATGTTTACCATCTACTGCTTATAGCTTCTGCCCACCGCTTTCACCTCTCTGACTGACCCATGCCTACCACCCTTCTGGAACGAAGGGTATCCTGCAATGGCAGGTCTGATTGCCATGGTAGCAGTTTTTGTGGTTGTTGTGATTGAAATGATATTTTCATCAATGAACGGTGGTGCAATGGGTGGATGTCATTCTGGGCCTGGAGGGATTTATGACCCTCTCGCCCTGTCCCCACCTCTAGCCGAAGATAGGAGAGGCACTGAGGAACAGGAGGAGATTGGTGCGGTATTACCCGAATCAGTGACAGGAGGGCAAGGCACCATGATGTCGATGAGGCCCCGCCACCGACGAAGTACTAGTATCGGTATCCAGTTACAAAAGATAGAGCAAACAAGAGCCCATGTAGATCTGGATGCCATCCCTTCCTCCTCGACTGAGGATCTTTCAGCTGACACTGACCAACTCTTGCGGGATGACGATGGAGTTTACGACAAGGCCCTATCCGATACAGAAGTTGAGGATGGAGAAAACTACGAGCCAGAAACTAGGACTGTAAATAGGAGGGCTCGGTCTCAGTCTAACTCTAGCAGTAGTCATAGGCATAATAATATTGGCAGTCGCTTAACAGAAGCGCAACTGCAGCAAAAAAATTTGCTGCAGGTAATGTTGCTCGAGGCGGGTATATTGTTTCATAGTGTTTTCATTGGTATGATTCTCCCTATAGCATACTCCGTGTGACGAACTGGCGCCAGAAAAAGCACTGCAATATGAATATTATAGCTTACTCTTTATAGGTATGGCACTAAGCGTTGCTACTGGGTCTAATTTCGTTGTATTATTGATTGCTATCACTTTTCATCGTGGGCCCCCGTATGCATGCACATTCAAACATTTCTAACTCAAACTCTCTGTAGAAACCTTCGAGGGCCTAGCACTTGGTTCCCGCATCGCAGGCCTAAAAGCATTCGGCAGCGGTTCCTGGAAACCCTGGTTAATGTGCTTAGCATATGGTACCACAACTCCCATCGGGCAAGCGATCGGTCTCGCGACCCGGAAGCTATATGACCCCGCATCTCAGGCCGGCTTGTTAATGGTCGGGATCATGAACGCTATTTCTAGTGGACTGCTTTTATTTGCCGGCCTTGTTGAGCTGTTAGCGGAGGACTTCCTCAGCGATGAGAGCTACGTTGTGCTTACTGGGAGGAGAAGACTCCAAGCTTGTGGAGCAGTGGCTGCTGGGGGGTTTGGAATGGCGCTCATTGGTGCTTGGGTATGCCTTCTCCTTTCTTTCTTATGGTTTCCCAGCAGGACGAGTGATTGCTAATGCGTCCTATTGTTACAGGCTTAGGTGGGCTACCCATCATAGGTAGTGCAAGGGAGATTTATTGGAAACTTTTTATAACCTTTTTCACATTTTGTACCATATCTCCCTTGAGCCAGTTTCTTTTTCTGTCCCACTATTTTCTCCTCTCCCATCCCCTAATTATCTGCCGTGCCGGCAGTCCAATCCTTCCAGGGTAATTTCCCAACCCGCTCAGCCGTAGCATCGCCTCAACCAGGACATCAAAGAATAGAATCCCCTTGGGGGGCGTCGTAACCCCCACAACACCGTTAGGATCTCCCCATATTTTGCAATCTGCAGGCCAAATGGTCGTCCCTACGCCCACCTTTAAAGTACGCGACCAAGTGTTCCCCGAGTGATACTCTGTGCCGCTTACGCACCCACGTCGGTGTGTGCACGCCGATTTAGGAAAGCGGCGCCGAAAAGCCCACCGGCCACATTACCAGGTACGGAGTAGTTGCCTGCAGTTTACCAATAATTGACGCCCGATACATGTAGGGCGCGGTACGATGATTGGCGGGATATTTGTCGGGTTTCATTAAGGTTCTTGGAGATGGAGAAGCATGGGACAGGGGGCATTATGTGTGGTGGTGGTAAATGTTTTTGACCCTGTGAAGGGGGGTTCGTGAGAGTCTTGTGCTATGCTCGGTTATTGGGGATCTTTCGCTATCATACGAATGGCACGGCTGGATGGGGATTGGTGTATTGTTCTGGCTGTGATATCGCGGTGTTGTCGATTCGTACTTCACAGGTGTGATTTTTTTTCCCCCTATCCCCCCCGCCCCTTTTTCAGAATATGAGGAAATTTGGTGGTATTGGTGAAAATGACCACGGTATTATCGAATGGTGCAATAAAACGAAAGGAGGAGGAAAAATACAATGATGGTGAGAAAACCTGACCCTAACCGTGTCCCTAACTAGCGAAATGAAGTAACCAGAGTTAAAGATTGATATGATGACAGAAGTTTGGAAGGGGTGAAAATTAGGAAAATGGTATAGTGAACGAGGTAGACGCTCCTGAGAAGTGGAAGAAGAGAAGTAAGGAATTAGGGAAAGAAAGAAAGGAAAATGACAAACTATACAAATATATCTACGATCCATAAGCCCCCAGATATCAGATGAACATGATGAAGAAAATGTTGGGAAAGAGTGAGTATGCCCAACCCGTAGTAACGTGGATTAGGCAAGTTCAGCTCGAAATGAAATCAAGAGAACAAAAGAACTATTTTCTGTCCTCCGTGATCATCAAAATTTAATAGAAACGAGATAAAATCGCGATAAAAGATCTAACTTAGCCCTCATACCGCCAGTGTAACCATATTGTCCGGCCCCATCGCCCCCGCCCCCGCCGATCAAAATGGGAGGATTCCCGTAATGATACTCGAACGCGATAAATCGCCCGAAGCCTTTACCCCCCCCCCTTCCGTCTCCCCGCAGCTCTCCCATTAACGACTGCTTCCCCCAACATCAGCGTGCAAGGCCGGCGGCGATACAGGGTCTCGACCTGTCGACGGCGAGGGATGCCAAACGGTTTCGCCACCGAATGGGAACGGTCGCTTGTGGGAATCGCTAAACACAGCAGCAGCGGCAACAGAGTCTTGCCACATGCCGGGAGACACAAATGAGTGCGAAACTCCTACAGTTGTAGGAACATAAGAGCTTGATGAAGGTGGGCGCCCACCGCCTAGCGGATCCACCAGTCCGCTCTCATGATGAGTTGCCATCTGCGCTTGTGGCATTGCAGCCGATACCGTCCCATTAACCCCAAATGCAGCATTCCAGTTGCTAGATTCACCTGTCAGTATGATTGTAGTTCTGCAGAACGCAAAATGCAGGGTACAAACTCGAATAATCGCGAAGGGTTCCATGCCAATGTGTCTACGATTGGCGCCGAGCTCTGTGCTCCTTGACCCGCCGCTAACATAACCAGAGATTGTACGGCTGCTGGTGACTCTCCTTTTGGTTCCGAACCCCCCGCCGAATGTGGCGGTGATAGAGGATGAGTGGGATAATTGACTGGACCGGTTGAAAGAGTTGAGTGCGAACTTTCTCCTTGGGTGTAAGCGCGAGTAATACTTGGATCAACAGGTCCCGAGACACCAGGATAGAAGGGGAAATTTGGGTTGAGAACGAAAGGTCGGTTGACGTCGAGCGAGAAGGCCTCACGCAATGTCTCAATCTGTCCCTTCACTTCAGATGAGGCCGAGCTGTCAATACAGTTCTCCAGTATCCGCATGGTTCTTGTAAAGTACTCTTTCGCATCATGATTAAATTCTGGATCGGGGCATGTGGCAGCAATCTGTATCCCGTTAGTTTCCCGCACTGGAATATGAAGGGGTGACACCTCGTCGCTTTGTGTATTTACCAAATGTATCATTGCGCAAGTGAGTAGTGTATAGATAGTGAAGTTTACACCCCTCAGCATGCATTGTAATCCGAGCATCCCATATTGTTCAAAGACAGTTTCCTCCAATCTGCATATAGACTTTGCCGAGTTTGTGCATATTGTCATGTGGGTTTTCCACTCACCGCCAAGTGAGAAGGTCTTTCCGTAAGCGAGGGCCGGTCGATGAAGCATAATGCGGGTTAGGTGATAGTACATCTGGAGATTGCCCGTGAAATGCGAGTCCACCTGAGGGCCCGGATGTGCGAGGTCCGTCGAAACATTAACACGTAGATTTGCTGGAAGTTTATAAGCCCAGGCGTCAAGTCCAGATCCGGAATCCAAGAACTGTGGATCATTTCTCCAGTTTGGCGTTGACTTCAGTTTAGCGTGAACGTCATTCATCCTTCGGATGTTTTTGACAAGCCAAACAAAGTAAATAAAACCCTCATAAATAGCAACCTCAGTTTCGTCACAACCAGGAGACGCAACTGGTGTCTGTAGATCGATGCTATCCGGATTGCACTGCATTATATCGCGTCCTGCCTCAAGTGTCAGCCAGGCGTATGGTAGATGAACTTAGAGCCTAAGGCCTGAGGAAAAGCACCTTGCGGAGCACAAATCATGAGCTCGTATACAAAGCACGCTTGCCAAACCCTGGTTCGTGTCATGCAATCTAAAGGGCCCTCGCCGCATCCAACACCTTGTTTGTGCAAGGCGTGGTGTTTATCTAAACCAAGGTCGCGAGCCATCGCAATAATGCTAACGACGCTCATCCATGAACGGAAGAAGTAACCCCTTTGTGGCGCGGACTCTCTTGCCTTTAACAGCAGCAACAATGCTTGCACCGTACTCAGGCGTGGCACATCGAGAAAGCAATCGACATGTCCTAGTCCAAGGTTAGATATCTAAGCTCCTAGTGGATCGATGAAAACTCCTCACTCGTTGCCATGCCCATCCACTTGAGCCCTTTAGAAGGATCCGTTGTCAGTCGCCCAGCACAGGCAAAAATCGTTTCTAATAATAGCGGCGATATCGAGTCGCGGGATGTATTCCATTGTCGGTAGAAGGCCGCCTTATTCACAATAGGTATGTAAGGGTGTATGTGATTGAAAAAAATGCCAAACATTTCCTGTGCTTCATCTTCTGTTGGCATATCCTCCTGGTGAATTCTGACCGCGAAATCATGTTGTACAGGTAGGAATGATGGGTTAGGCTCTATCTCCTCTGTCCATGGCTCGTACGCGGGGGTTTCGGCTAGCCTTCGACCCTGAGCAGAAATGTAGTTTGCTGTTGCCCCAACTTAGCAAAACGATTCCAAAGTTAGGTATTGCATCGAGCCTAACGTACCGACACCACTATCGTCTATTTTGAGCTGTCCTAGGACCCCACTCACGTGCGAGGCGGATACATATTCAGTATCTCCTGGCCATTGCTCCTGAGATCGCATCACCGCTTGTGTTTGGTAGACCGGGGCGGGAAAATGCATTCCTGAAAGTGGTGGCTCTATGCCTTCCCCGGAGTGGATACCCGAGAAAGCAAGAGCAGGGGGAGCGCCGTGAGAGGCGTCCTGATGTTGCTCGGGGGGCGAAATGTTTCCATAAGCACCATGGCTATCTCTGGGGTGATAGTTCAACGCATCCCTGCCCTGTTTCCTGGGTGCAAGATGTCCCACCATCTCCTCTTCACCACTCCCGCTCGAGTTGTCAAACTCCCCGTTTCCATCCTGTTCGGGGGCTTGGCTTGGCGCAAAGTCACGATCATACTGTACCATAGGGGGCACGCATTGAAGCTTGAGACGGACGCAGGCCGAACATGGCCAGGTATTGGTTGTTGCGGCATCGCATTTAATCTTGCGGCGTCGGCATCCCTCGCACGCTCGCATAACTAGATGCCGTTTAGCTTAAGAAATGCACAACTAATCCACAGGTGAAGAAAAAACTTGCGCACTGACCCTTGAGCCTTTTGTGACGGTTATGTTCATCGACAAATACATAATCTATATGGGTTCACGGGCGGAGTCAATATAGATTGCTAGAACAAGATGAGGAGGCAACTTACTCCGGTGATTCTCCCTTGTCCCGCCCAAATCGGTGGGCGAGAGATTGATGCTTTGTTGCATGCTTAGTGCTTGCTGGGGCAATAGTCGCCGCGGGACAGAATCGACAAATGTCTGCTGACCCAACATGGACAGCGAACGCGGTGCAGGATATCGTAGGTGTATTGATATGATCTCGCTCGACAATAAACGGTATCTCTCTATGTTTATCTCTCTCTTTCCCTCTCTCCCTTTTCTTTTTTTCTGTCCCCCCTCAAAGAGCGCAAACGTAAGAAGCAGTAGGTCTAAAGAGAGAAGGACGTGCAATTGCACAGATGGGCCAAAAATTTGGGGAACAGGCGATTCAAGAGCGGGAGCGGAAGCGGGAGAAAGGTAACAATCTTGTTTTCGAGATCAGTTATAAGTACCGTTCTCTGCACCAGCGGGACCCACCCACCCGCTAGGAAGACCTAAGATCCCACAGCTCTCTCTGGCTCTGGTCGTGTGGTACCCGTGATCTATCTGCAGCAAAAGTTCCTGTGCGTAGATCAATGTGACGCACTGGGCGGAGGCGAAAAACTGACAATCTGGATGAAATGGTTAAGCTGGTTCTGAGTAGGAAGTGGTCTTGCTAGGATTTGAAGGGGGCGAATGCCTTCAGGAGGGAAGGAGGAGGGGGTTGGAGGGGGGGATAAGGGCGGAAGAGAGGAGAGTGTGTGTGGTATATTTTTTTATTATTTTCCCTTTTTTTTTTCTTTTTCACCTCCTCATCTCCCCAGGTGATAGGTAGTGGACAAATATTAACCTACGGTACTGGAACAGGCCAGAGTAGAGAAGACGCTTTGGGCGGGATAAGTGGTGCCGGAGAGATGGATCGATACCTGTATGTGATTTCTGCCAAATGAGATGGTTGAGTATAGTACTCGAGTGCTAGTATGGTACACGACGATATCTCTACCAGTTCGCACGCGTAGTGTACTCGAGTACTCGGGTATGTACGAGCAGAGGCACCAGGCAAGCTAGGCGGAGCTCTCTTCTATTGTAGCGGGAGGTCTTGGGCTCATATTGTGGCTAGAAAGGGCGGGAAAGTAGGGAGGGGTGTTTGTGGTGTGATGCGCTTTTGCGGGATAGGGATGGGGATGATAGGGGGCGATGGAGGGATGGAGTGGGGGGATAGGCTGCAGTTTGAACCTTGAACTACGGTAGCTATCATACAAATTTGGAGAGAGAGAAGAGGGGCTTTACAGGCTCCTGCCAGCCCTACTCAAGTACGAGATCTTGCAGGAAGCCAATCTCTTACTCACTAGATATCCCAGTCATCCTTTAAATCGTCTAGCTGTAGGGAGCAAGGCTGTGGTTGTTTGGGCATACGGTACTCGGTGGACCTATTCGTTGTGAAAGAACGCCAAAATATGTAAAGGAGATGGGGGGGGGGTGCAAGGAGCAGGGTGCGGGTGCTGGCAGATCTTTCTCCCATCAGCAAACCAGAGCGAAGTGTGGAATTCAGGAAAGTCAAAAAAAAAAAAAGAGACAAAAGCAATCTGCTCCAGCAATCCTTGTCCGGCTCTGTCGAAAGCCACTATTTCTACTTTCGGATATCGAGGTGTAGCAGTGCCGTACCGTTTCAAAACAGCGCGGTACAAAGTGCCAAAAGGAGGACGATTCTCGAGGCGGAGGACCGTTAAAGATATACTCTATTATATTATCTCCAAATGATAAAATGGCAGCCCGAAACCTTAAAAAAACGCTACCGTTAAAGTCCAGCGAATGTGACTGGTGGACTTCCATAAAAACCGTGGTATGTTATGCCATAAATTACCACTATTGCACTGTATCTATGGTACTTGTACTGCACAGAATGTCATTACTTCCAAGACTGTCCAAGATAGCGCGCTTTTTCTGCTGACAGGTAGATGAGTGAGCTGGAAAAAGGGTACCGGTAGTGCAAGTACTTGTAGACCTATGGTCCATCCATAGGAGCCCAACCCAACACGGGCTATACAAGTAGAAGTAACCGCGATAGAGGTATGTGTGATATCTTATTGACCTGCTGCTATTGCTTCTTGTGCCGCAGGGAAGGTGAGGGAAGGGAAGGGAGGGAGAGAAAGAATGAGAGGTGAGAAAAAAAAGGGGGGGAGATGCTGGTTGTGGGAGGGGTGGATGGTTGGTGTACCGGTATCATACGGTACTTGTAGGTGGATGGGCGGATGAGGGGAAGAGACACTTTGTGATGATGTCTCACGCAGGACGTTGGAGGCATGATGGAGATAGGGAGGTTGTAGAGGGAGGGGGGGGGGGATGAGGAAGATTATGAAAAGCTAGTTTCTGGGCAGTTCGATCCAGGTTGTCATCAGTTGTTCTCCCTCGATACTCGAGTACCGGTGGGACCCACCCCCCCCCCCCATGTCGCTCCTACTTGTACAGTACTCCCAGCCTTTACCAGCATTGCATGGTGCTTCGCGAATAAAAGGGCTCGCTGACTGAAAGTTGCACGGAGATTTCCATAGTTGCCGTCCTTCGTAAATTCTCTATCGTGTTCAGTGATATCCCTGTCCCCATTTGGGAGGAGACAGAACAGCCTGCAAACGATCAGCAGCCAGTCAGTTTCTCAATTTTTGTGAACGGCTGAGCATGGTGGCCCGGACTTTGGGAAGATGGAAAGGCCCAATCGGGCGGGGAAATTTTTTTAATAACCAACGAATGATCTGCCGGTACCGTACCGCCACAGTATCTCACCGAGTATCTAATGCTCTGCGGTCCCAACGGGACACTGTGAACAATAGGATACTCGTACAGTACGAGTACAGGTAAGAGGAACCATGAAGGGCTGAATCAAAGATCCGGCGTCCCGGTGATGCCATAGTGAGTTGATTACTTGTAGTGCACGGACTTGCTCAACAGCGGTACCTGTACGGTATTGTGTTGGAGAATAAAGGTACTTGTAGTGGCTGTTTTTTCTGTAGGATTCGTTTGTGCTTAGGCTCGACAACTTGTCTGCGGTTAACGCTGGGTGGGGGGATCCACGATCCGTGCCTAAGCAGGTAATGCAGTGGCGGTCAAGAAGCCTTGGGGATTTTCGGGACTTGGGCAAGCTCAGTATCCCGTATCACCACACAGTCCTCAGATGCTTATCCTTTGCTTCAGCTCTTTGAGAGTGGCGGGTCTTTTTTTCAAGAAATCCATTGAAACCCAAGGCATTTGAAGTTCGTGGCCAAGTACTGACTCCAGAAGAAAGGCCTGCAGCTGCCGGAGCGATTTTCGTGGCCACATGAACAGGAGAGCGATAGGCGATCAGAGTCAGGTATCACCACTCATGTTCTGGTATTTTTCTTCCGAGGAGGGGGAACAAAACAACAACCAGATTTTTGAACCTCGAATATTCGTGGTTTCCTAATGGGATATGGAGGAACAGGCTGCGCAATGGCCAGTTTGCGCCCAGTTTTTCGCGCTCACTTCGGGTACCGGTACTGTACTAGTAAATTTATCATACAGTACTGGATGGACGGCACCGTACCCTAACCGTTATTGAACACCGTTACAAGTAGGCTCTGAAGATCGTGGCGTATCACGGTTCTCACGGGTTGCGATATTTTATCAATGATGTTCCGTTCCACAGATCTTTTCCCTACAAACGTCAAACACAGCTGGATACGGGTCCCAGTGATGTATGCCCTGGGTAGACTACTTTGTGGCCTTATCTCACTGCCGACCATCACCGCGCGTCCTACAGCCGTGCCCTCTTAAGCGATTTGGGGCAATGTCGATGGAACAGCCACACTTGAATTTGACATCCATTCGAACATCGCTTCTCCACCTATCACCTCACCGCCATCACCGAGATCAATCGGACTTGATGCATAGCCGGAAGAAGTCCTGGGCTATCGATTCACCATACTGGTATTGTCGGTGCTCAGGAGCGGCAACCCTCTGAAGATATTATTTGCATCAGCTGCCGTGTGGAGCACCAGCACTTTCCCTTCGTCTAGTCTTCTCCTGCATCAGTTCTCATGTGTTGTAACCAACCACACGGGTAACTTCTTCCCAGTTTAGATTCCTGTGGGATACGAAGGGGCTGAGGGTGGCGAGGGGGTGCCCACCGATGGCTGCCTCGGTCTGGTTAGACGTGCTTGAACAACAACAATTACCGACAGTTTTAGCGACCAGCCTTCATGCCACAGGCGGCCTCTCTAATATCCTATGGAATTTCTGGGGGCACATACTGTACAGTACTAGTACAACAGGATATGATACTCGACTGCTGCGCATATGCTATGAGGTCGTGTCACGCATATAAAATCGCGCTTTGTTCTACGTAATGTGCCGGAAAATGGGGGGAAGCAGAGCTGATCTGATCGACCGAGAGATAGGACAATCATGTCATCCTGGAAGCTATTCCCTGCCGTGAGGGACAGCTCCAATGCACCCTTGACACCCCGGGGCATCATATAAAAAGAGAAAGTTTCAGCCCTCCCAAAACCACGGGGAGCTGGCGGGGGATAGAACAGAAGACGCATTTTACTGGTGCTGGGGAGGCGATAAATCACGAGCCCATACTCAACATATAGTGAGTGCCTATTATGCCGCGGCCTTGGCTCCAACCATCCACCGGATCAGGCCTTCAATAATCCTTGTCACACTCATAACCGTCGGTCTTCAATACTCAAATTGATTTTGTTATACAGTACGTACGATCTTAATAGCTATGTACGAAAATACTATATAATATAAGGGAGTATATTGTAAACATGAAGAGGAGATATGAGGGTGAGGAGAGGAATTCTTGTCCTTAAGTCTGATGGGTAAGAAGGATAGTATCTTCAATATATATAGGAGTAACCATCCTGTAATAAAATCAAACTCTATTCTAGGAATTTTCCTGACTCCTTATTTTTTGCTTCTCTAATTGGGAAGACTAATATAGGACTAAATACTACACTCTTATCCAAAGTCCTTTTTGTTTATAGTCTTTATAGCTTGATGAAATACTCTATCATTATATAATATACTATAGTTTTTTCTCTACTAATATGCTCTTGCTTAATAGAAGGATTGTTAGTATGGTGTATGGAAAAAATTAATGAAATACCTAGCTGGGCATCACAACCCATCACTTCTAGACAATCTTGCATACTCAACACTCTTACTAAAGTCATTACCACTCAACAACCACCTTATATTACCTGCTTTTTATTTTATTTTAAGAAATAATAACTCTTATTCTTCACAGCCATAAACACAAACCTATTCCTTCCAAGCATCTCAGTCAATAGACAAGGGGGAGAGTGTGTAGGCTGCATGAAAAGGGTATGGCTTTGAGAGACATTTTCTACCAACTTAATATCATCCTTACTACTGTCCATGATATAGTAGCA